GACAGATTGAGGACCCTCGCGAGAAATTCTGCTCCCGCTGGTCCAAGATGTTTCAGCATCAGCATGCTTATTCCGTCGGGGCCGATGGATTTGGAGGCTTTCGCCTTCCCGATGACCCCCTGAACCTCCTCCCTGGAGAAATCAAGCACCGCGCTGGTGTTTGGCAGTTTGCGCATACGGCGGGTCACACGTCGTTTCGCTTTATCTACCGAGGGATGCAGTGTAAAAAGACGGCTAAAATAGCTCGCGCATCTCTTCGGGTCCGACGAGGCGCGATCACCGAATGAAATTTCCACCCGGTCATCGCGTCTCGTCGGGTTAGACAGCGACTTGACTGTGGCCCAGAGCTTGGTTGCCCCAGAGGAGAGGTTGCAGGTCCTTAGGTGCTCCTCCCACCTTTTCCGCTTATGATTGTTTACGACTCGTAGACCCATTCGATTCGCTTCTAACGGCGCGGTTGTTGATGGCGATAATGTCAATATCATCGGCGCACGCCAGTAATTGTACACTCTTATAGAAGATTGTACCTTCTCCATTCAGCATAGTAACAGCATTTACTCACTCTAACTTTAAAGCCGGCCCTAAGTGAAAGCAAGTCTTGCTCGACTATTCATATGCTCTTATATTTTTACCTGGCAACAAATGTATACACAAAATATATTTTCAATAATCATGAGAGCTATTTGCCTTGCTCTCTCTTTGTTTCGAAACGCTCTGTATATTTTGTGTACAACGTTTATACATACCTTAGTTATTAAAGTGTAAACAAAGCCAATCATTGCAATCAAAGCCAAACATTCTATGAATTTATATGAATCTTGTTCGAATCTGTAATCAACTGGTGGTGGATAAATTATCGATCGTATGAGTCCTCCTTTGGCTGTGATGTTTCCGGTGTTGATGATTATTGCCAACACCTTTTCAGAGCCTATATAACGCGTTTGTATAACCTTTGTTCCAGAAAATAGGATATGCCGTGCATGTTCTTTTTTGTCGAATAGTAAATCTCGTTTCATTGGTAGTGGGATTTTCGTAACTGGCACACTTTCCCCTAAATTTGAAATATTATTATTATCTTTTCTCAATACAAAGGAACAACAAACCTGTAAGCATTGATTCATCGAGAATGCAGTTCCCTGATAACAACACAGCATCACACTGCATTATACATCCGTCTGTAGGTATTTCAATAACATCACCAGGTACTAAATAATCAGTAGGGATCTCATGCACTTCACCAGTCTCTGTTATTACCAAAGCGCAGCCTGAATTCATTACTGTTTTACGTAAAGAATCCTGATTCTGTTGAAAATATAAAATTATAGGCCTGAAGCTCAACTTTTTAAATTGTAAAAAAAAACGGGTTACACAAAAACAACTTCTACCTATTTTGTTACACGTGGCTTTCATATATTTTGTGTACTTAGCGAAATAATGCCCCAGGGGCTTTCAACTCTGGAGACAATCGGTTTGCCAAGTTGGCTACCAGTTTCTATGTATAAAAAGAAAAAAGAAATGTCATTCATGCCCAATCTCAGATTTCCCGATTTTGCAATATCTTACAACACCTTTACCTTACCCGAAATATCTGAACATATTACCAACCAGCAAAGTCTTCATCACATACTTCGCTGTGCATAGATCCCTTCAAGTAATTATCAGTGATATTTAAATCAAATATATATCAAATGTTTAAATCTGAGCTAAGAGGTGGCAGCTTACAAGCAAAAGATAAGAAAACTGCAGAAAAATTTGCATATTAAAGGAATACCGAGCATATATGAAGTGAAATAAAAATTTCATGAACTATATAAAAGGCACGGTATCCGCCCCTTACTTCCCAAGGTGACATAAAGGCGTACAAATTCAATAAAAACATAATACCGAAATGGTTCCAAGCGGAGTAGTTTCACTCGCTTTCGACTTCTTCCGACGTGCGAAGTGGGTTTTTCTGTGGCAATTATGATGCTGACTATGCCTCTAGCTTCATCAAACGCCCCACATTCTTTCAACAAAAAGAAATTTTAAAAATCAAACCGCAACGAAAATGTACTCTCGAACAAGCTAAGGAAATTTGTTTTTCAGAACTACCTAAACAATCTTTATCCTCTTCTTTCGCTGACATTACTGTTATCAGGTACAGTAAGTCATCTTCATCTAAAAATATCTTCAAACAAAAAACTTCTATTTCTTCTTTACAAAAAAAAAAAAAACTAAAGAAAACCAACATCGAATCAGCTTCAGCAAATTCCAACTCTTCCTTCCCTCCTTCCATTCATTCTTTCGTCAAAACCCTCGCAACAGCGAAAGCATCAATGGGGAGCGGCCCACTGCCCATAAAAAACATTGCATCTCCCAACGTATCGCCTGTTGCAAATATCACTCAACAGCTTTTTCAAGAAAAAAAAAACAATTATTTTGTTACCCCTTCATCAAATTTTTCGATGACATATCAAACAAACAATATTTCTTTGAATAACCCAAGTACAATAATTAAATTACAATAACAACATTATATTTCCTTTGTAAACACGATATGATATGTCTAATACTGGTTAATACAACAGTTAAATTTTTCTCAAATTTCTAATAAAAACAAATTAACCTTTCCTTCTCTCATTTTGTTCAATTCACATTTTGTTCAGTTCACTTTTCATACAATATTTTCCCAGATTTCCAAAAGCCTATATTTCTCCGCTGCCGCCCGCTTCATCCCGGCAGGCCGAATTGCGGAGATCCGACCAAATTTTTCGACAGAACCGGCCGTATTACCGTCCAGGCGCGACACCCTCCGAAGCTCCGATCCCGGGAATCGCCTAATCTGGGATTTAAACGCGGAGAATCAAGAGAAGTCAACAAACACAAGCGGAAAAAGTGGGAGGAGCACCTAAGGACCTGCAACCTCTCCTCTGGGGCAACCAAGCTCTGGGCAACAGTCAAGTCGCTGTCTAACCCGACGAGAAGCGATGACCGCGTGGAAATTTCATTCGGTGATCGCACCTCGTCGGATGCACGAGCTATTTTAGCCGACTTTTCACACTGCATCCCTCGCTAGACAAAGCGAAACGGTGCTTGATTCCGCGCATGGTCCCGCTACTCAAACCGGGGAAACCAGCCAACAAAGGAGAGTCCTATCGGCCGATAACTCTCCTCTCCCCAGTAGCGAAGACACTTGAGGCCTTACTGCTCCGACTTTCACTCACCATCTGCGTCCAGCAGCGCATCAGCATGGCTTCCGAAAAGTGCACAGCACCACAACAGCACACAACGCCATAAACAGCCAGATAGTCCATTGCCTTAACCAAAACCGACCCTGAGCGCGAACTGTCCTAGTAGCACTGGACTTGTCAAAAACTTTTGACACAGTCAATCACTCAGTGCTACTAACGGACATTGAGGAATCCTCATTACCGCAGGGGTTGCAGAGGTGGGTCATGGGCTTAGGAGTGGTCGACAATCATCGGTAATATTCCGGGGTAAAACATCTAAACCCAGAAAAATTAAACAGGGGGCTCCACAGAGTGGTGTCCTCTCCCCGCTACTGTTTAATTTCTACATCTCGAAACTTTCTCCACCACCAGAAGGGGTTTCCCTAACCTCTTATGCCGATGATTGTATGATAATGGCCAGGATATTGATGACCTCTGCTCGAAAGTGAACGGCTACCTCACTGATCCCTCCCACTTCTTCATTGCAAAACACCAGCTGGACGAAGGAGTACAGGCTTGAACTAGATGTGAAGGTCGATGACACAAAAATTCCGACGGTAAATAACCCAAAAATATTGGGAGTTACCCTGATAGTCTGTTCTCCTTCCGCAATGCCAATCTATTACATTCTCAAAATATAACCTCAGAATTCATTCTTTACTTCTCCAATGCTTCCTCCAACTCAAATATCCCTTCAGAATTTGCCCATAGCTAACATTGAAACCTTTACACCACTTATTAATTACAGTCTAACTTGTCTCCAACGGCCAGAGGACTGAAAGGACATTGATTTTGGCAACTGGCCGTTCAATAAATATGAATTGGTTATAATTTGTGACCTATGCGAAGTCTGATGTACGGATTTATTGAATTAACCGGTATGGTTTACGGAAAACCTGGCTTGGGGTCCCTCCATTTGTTGGAAACACATGAAGACGCAAAACCCCAAATTGGAGGAGGAGCTTGGCAGAAAATCGATTCAGCGGTTACAAAGCACCAGTTATATATATTTATATATAGATGACAAAACCTTCAATTTCCAAGAGGTTCAAATCTCAATGGAATGGAAAAAGCTTCCGACGTACGGAAATAGACGTCTGAACACTGTCGGACAAAACAAGCGAAAAACATTAATGCTATAAAATAATAATAAGAAAAAACTGCTATATTAAATAAAACGTATTTTGAAGTTTGCTATTTCCCATTTTAAAAATTTTGCTTATGATGGAAATTTCGTAAAGTATGTATTCATTCAAGACGTCAAAGCCAATCTGCCACAAAACTCGGCGAAAGTTCGTTTTTGAGCAGTTCATTTTTAACGAATCGGTGAAGTATAAAAACGTCATAGCTATGTTTAATACGCATATTTTAACTAATTACTTGCAGTCAAAGTTTTAGTTTATCTTCTGTTATATTTTATTGTCTCTGCAAACAAACATAGTCAGCCGGCACGCTGATAGCGAAAGGAAACTGAAAAGTACAACCGCTTGGCGATACCTTTACTGACGTTTGTAACTTTGAAATCAATATTGCTCATAAAGATTTTTTAGAATATTTTTTTTAACATATAGTTTTAAGGCATATAGTTCAATGTTAAGACTAAGAGTTAGCTTTATTATAAAAATTAGGGCTTCGATTCGGGTAAGAGCCTCTAACAAATTCCAGCGGAGAGGCCCCATTTCCGACCAGATGTAAACAATAACACCCCGAATATTTCCTTCTAAAGAGTCAATCATCTCTGGTTCATCTGCGTAAATAAGCGACTTCATATAATATCAAAAGGCTCATAACGCGCGGTAATGCGCTCACCAAAAGCTTCAATAAATTGAATGTTTCGTTGGCTGTATAGATGACATGTAGTGTCGTCTTGTTACAACCAAAGTTCGTCCAACTCAGGTCCGAAAAATTCATGAATAATGGCTCTCTAGTGTTAGCCATTGATTGTAACATTATAGGGGGCCTCATTTTTGAAATAAATTGGACCAATTATTTTCTCTGTGAATAGTCTAAGTAAGCGAGGTCATCTAACGGGAGATCTAAGTAACAAGACACAGCTTGTTGGACCGAACAAAAGGAAAAGAGAATTAGAAAAGTGGGTTTAAAAGGGTATGCAAAGGAGTAGTTAGTAACGTTATTGCATGCAGGACACACGTAATTGTGCTAATATTATTCAGGTCTCTCGAGGCAGCTGAATTTTTTGTCTCGACTGTACAAATCAAGCTCTCATCTGTTCCTTATGAAATGGAAATCCTAACTGAGCATCTGCTGTTAAAAAGACCAGCCACGATAGTGTAAATTTCTTTCTAAATTTTATTTTAATGTGTACGGCAGGCGAAAACCAAATGAAGAGCCCAACTAGTAAATTCAACTGCTGGAGTGAAAGCTCTTAATCACAACAATAAATAAGTGACTTCGCTTCTGTTCTGTCAACTTCATGTTAAGTTTAGAATTTAATTAAATATTATTTTATTCTCCTTTTCTCTCATTGAAAATATTCAGTTTGTTAACTTCTTTTTTCTTAGTGTATTATTTCTTTATGCGTTGTAGCTTAGCATTTTTATGTAGGGGTTTGCTTTATATTGGGGAGCAATGTCTTCGAAATTTTCGTTGTTTTGACCCTTAACAGGCACTTGCGTACCGGAGAATACTAATTAGACAACATAGGGGTTTAAAAATTTGTCATCTCAATTCACAAAGCGTCTGATATTGTTGTTGCTTGCGTTTCTGAGTCTTGATTCTCTAAATGGCATAGTGACAAATTATTTTGTGTTGGCGGATATAAATTGTTTCGTTTTAATTAGACTTGGGGATGTTGGTGGCGCAGCTGTGTTTGTCAAATCTTGTTTGTCCTGTAGAATTAAATGCACATCAGAACATATTTGTCAAATTGAATACATCTTTGTCGAAATTAAATAGTATAACTAGTATAAAAAATACTTGCAGGATGTGTTTGTAGGCCACAAATACATTTCATTTAACAATTCCATAAATTTTATTAAAAACCTTAATCCATGCTTCAATCACATTGTTTTAGCCCGAGATTTCAATAGTGATTGAAAACAAACTATCCCAAGCAATGCAAAATCTGCTAGA